GCTCTAAAGTTCAAAACACGTGGCTATGTAATGAAACCTTTGGAGAACACCAGGCAAATGCTTGTCTAATTCTTAGTTTACCCAACCGAAATATAAAATCATTTATTAAGTCAAGATCAAAAAGAATAAAAACTCCTAAGACTTTGCTTTTTTTTTCCTTCTGCGCTTTAATTGAAATGTACATTGGCGTGTTAATGTATATTTAAACAACCAATAGATATACAGAGTCTTATCGATCGTCATTGGCTTGTGTTGTCATTTATATTTATTTGGTTTTCATTTTTTCTTTCTATATAATAATGAACAAAATAATTTCATCGTCACGCTGTGCGCACGTAGACGCGTGGTGTCAATCAATAAAAATGATAGCAAAAAAAAAAACCAAAGAAAGAAAGAGATACTACACCAAAGGCAATTGACTAAAGTTATATAGAAAAGCATCGATACTTTTCAATATACCAAAGTTCTTTTTCGTTTTTCTTTTCTTGGATGGTGTAACATTATTACTCCATTTGCTTGTCAGAATTCGCGCGCCGCCGTGTGTGTATATGTATATGCACACATACAAACACACATAGGAAAGGCTTCTCACGGTATAAAATAAACATCTATCTCTCGCACGCGTCTCTCGTTCGCAAAGAAACGCCATCGAATAGTGTCCAATCGGTTTTTTTTCTCCCTCTTTTTCTTTTCGTTAAAAGAAGGTGCGCGCGCGCGAGAGAGAGAGAGCGAAAGCAAAAAGCGAAAAAAAAAATCTTCATCAAATTGCTATTAGACGTGTGCTGCGACGGGTGACATTTCGAAATCGACATATACAATATATACATATACACGCGTAGTTGATTCTTACCAAACACTTTCTCACTCTTTTGAACTGAGTTATGATGTTGACGTGTGACTATTCCGATACATCGGAACAAACTTCAAGAAAAGTAAGTTACTTCAATTGTTTTTCTTTTCAACACCTTCCGTTTTTTTTGTTTTTTATTTAATATAGTTTGCTAAGACATGTGTAGAAAAAAAACGTCGTGATCGTATTAATAAAAGTCTTGATGAATTAAAAGATCTTATGGCTTTAACTGATGAAGTAAAATATTCTTTTCTTTCACGAAAATAAATTTTTATTTTATTCTTTTTTTTTTGTTTTCAATAGAGAGCAAGATATCAAAAATTAGAAAAAGCCGAAATACTTGAAATGACTGTGAATTATATTCGAAATTTAAAACGTACAATGAATAATTCAATTGAAGATTATGAAAATGGTTACAGACAATGTTCAGAAGAAATGTGGAAATTAATTTATACATTACCAAATATTGTTCCTGAACAACGTGAACGTTTAGCTAATCGTTGTCGACAAGTGTGGACAAATCGTCGACTTGCTCATCATCATCATCCATATCAACGACGAACAATACCAACAACAAATGAACAATATTCTCAACAACAATCATCATCTTGTCTTAAAATTCTTATTAATCATCCATCAATAAGCAATCCAAATTCTTCATTGTCATCATTATCATCGTCATCAAATGGCTCATCTAGTTCTCTTAGTCCATCATTACCAAAACTTTGGAAACCATACATGTAAATAGACATGAAAAAAACTTTATCACAGTGATGAATGATTTCTTTTTCTTTCGTTGTTTCTTTTTTGTATGTGTGTTTTTGAATATATAAATTATTCAAACAGATTATCATCTAATAGTCGTGAGAAATGCTAAAGAAAATAACATTATTTTTTTAACATCTAGAACAATCTTGAGAATAATTTTCCTTCATATTCGATCACTTAACAAGTATTTTTAATATCAGTTCATGGTGAGCAAAATTGAGATAATGATGAAAAATGTGTTAAGAAGTCATCATTTTTTTTTTAATTCTTTCGGAGATAATTGAAGTCAAAAATGATATATATATATAATGAAAAGTAAAGTGTGCTTGCACAATCAACTAACACCTAGTTATTGATGCTTCTAGTCTTCGTTCGTTGCTTTCTTTTTTCTTTTTCATACTCAGCATTATGATGACCTATAAAAGTTGAATATGATGACAGTCAGCCAGCCAAATGGATCCATTGATGGATACACATTACAAATGACGGGTAGGTGTGTTGTGTGTGTGTGTATATATATATATAATGACTACTAGTACTACTTCGTATGTTATTGTTCGTTCGTCTTTAACAAGAACAATCGTCTATACGTTGATAGGATGACTACATCTATAGTTATTTTTCTCTCTTTTGAATGGCATAATGATACTCGTGATTTTTCATTATTTGATATTAGCCGACTAGTTGTAAGATACGCCAATATTTTGTTGTCTTTTATTCTCTGATGAAGTCATCGTCTTGTGACTTGTCTTAACATGCAAAAATAAAGGAGTAGTGATCTATTACATAATTGAATCTGATTCTTATATATATGAGAAGCACGACATACATGAAAGAAGTAGGTGCGTGTGTGTGTATATATGCTCATCCTTATATATATATGTATATGAATATGAGAGAGAGAGAGCGCGCGCGGTCTTTTGCTCACTAAAATTATGATGATGATCAATATACTAAAGATAAGAATACAATAGATGTTTACATCATCTATCAAATGAATGTGCACACCTTTTTTTTCTTTTCTTGTCTTAAAGATTATTTGCAATTGATTTTTCTTTCCCAGAAGACGATGACATTCTTTTGATGTATATAAATTCGGCGCCTGAAGAGTATTTTTGAATGTACGCGCGCGCACAAGTGCGATCACACAAGATCGATATTGAGATTGTCATAGTTCATTGAATGTGAACATGATGTATGATGATTTCATAATATACAGCAAACAGTTTGTGATCACTTGGGATCTTATAAAAGCCTGTAGGCTTATTGTTTTATTCAATAGCAAACCTAAAAAACGGAAAAGAAAAGAAAAATAACTACTTGATTCCGTTTAAATGAATCAAGTAGAACATAAACTATTCACATTTTTACAATCATTATCCAATTAGATGTTAAAGACAATACATTCCAAAACAAGCTGTCTTTTTGTTTTCAAAACAAATAACAAATGACATACTTAACTCATCAACATCATCATCATCATCATCATCATCATTGACGTTTTTCGTGTGAATTGACCATACACACTATTATCATGCTTGCGTGCATTCGAAATCCGTAAATGATCGAATGTCTATCGCATACACGCATACATTCCAATCTCTGCATTATTATGATAGACAGAACATATAGATAGAATGATCATGAGTCACGGAAAATTTATTAAAATATTCATTTGACATGGCTGCTATAGTATTGTTGTCAAATTTAATTTAGATATTTTTATCTTTCTCGATATCAATTGAGTTCACATATTAAGATCAAAATGCCGCTTTTCATAGACAATATATTTATAAAAATGAACAATAGTGTCGCATGTCTAATTAAAGTAGTACCTGGGTAGTAGCATAGGCAACTTTTCAATTATCACCTTTCGTCGAAGAAAAGAACAACAGCAGTATTTGTCTGATGTGTACAGTTGAGCTTGTCGTCTTTGAAAATCGATGCGCATACGTTTCAAGTCACTACCCACACACATCTTGGGTGTGCTTTGATTGTATTTATTCTTATTCTTTTTCTTTTCACAATAGGTGTGTACGTGTGGTATATGTTTGATCTTTGCTCGGACCGGTGATTGTAGCTGTCAAATGAAAAAAAAAAAAAACGAAAGAAAGAAAGAACTCACTGGTGACAACAACTCTAAAGGGAATCAAATTCCCAATTTGTCAATAAAAAGAAGTGCCATAAGATCGATTGTTAAAATATTTATATATATTCTTAAGATGTGTTCATTTTTCTCACCAAGTTGTCTTTGGGATGAAGGGGAAAGAGGTTGAGGGAAGGGGGGGGGGGGGTGTTAGTTTGAGTCATTTCGGAAATAATATTGTATTGCTCATGAGTCAATTATCGCTTGAGGGAGGTGGTAACACTTAACAATTATGCATTGTCATTGTCGTGTGTGTATATGAATGTTCATAAGTTCAAAGCTATCGGTCGGCTATTTATTTCAATTTTAAAATAATTCTGCCCGCCATCTCTACCTCTTCATTGTGTTCTCATCCATATACGAAGGAAGTCGAAATTTAATTCTATAAAGTGAACATACGTCTATAGATGTAAGGAGTATGTTAGTAAAATGTTCTCTCTTATCAATATACATATAACAGCAGCGAATGCACTTGAATGAACATCGTTATTTCATTGTTTGTAGTTTTCTTTTTTTGTTTTGTTTTTTCCGACATTTGAACTTCAATATTTTACTAATGTTCAAGTGTCTGCATACTCAGTAGGCGGAGCGCGTGAATATAGACACATACAACATTTATCACAGCAGTCTTAGTGCAATACAAAATTCACCTGCCTGCTGTTACTGATTCATAAATTTTTATTCTGTTGTTTTTTGTTTTGATCTTTCCGATTTGTCTTTATATATATATATTTCTATTTACATTTCTCAACATGAACAATGATATGCATCATCGTTTCTTTTTTTTTATTTTAAAATATTTCTACATGTGAAACTCGTGCATACACGTGCAACATTGGGATATATTATATATGATTGACGACGTGTGTACATAGGCGTCTCCTTCTTTGATCTCAATCGTGGGAATCACATCTTCCGTTCTCATAGTCACATCTCTTACGTGTATATACATAGTGACAAAAGCCGGTTAAGTTTGACCATGTCTTCCTTTGTCACACCTTATTTTCATTTAAAAGGAATGGATAATGTGGACAATATAGATTAAAAGAACAGAAAGAGATTGGTTATTCAATCTTCTATTGACCAATACAAAACATAGGAGACATACACACAGAAAGAGAGAGAAAGATATAAAAAAGAAAAAAAAAAAGGAAAGAAAAAGTTGAACTTTTTTTTTTTATTCTTTTGATATAGTCAGTTCAATATTGAAAACGACGTGAGAGACAAACGCAAGCAATGTATAATACAAGTGGAAGCGATATTGATACAGAAGAATTTGAATATCATTCAGGTTCACGTAAAGTAAGAAAATCAATGAAATCATTTCTGTTTTTTTTTTATCTAAATTTTATTTTTACTAATCTAGGTTGCAAAAACATATGTTGAAAAAAAACGACGTGATCGTATTAATCGAAGTTTAGATGAATTAAAAGATTTATTAGCTATTCATTGTGATGTAAGTAAATAAAAACTAAAATCACGTACAACAAAACAATAAATAAATAAAAATTCGATTTATTTATTTGTTTTAGAAAGCACGTTATCAAAAATTAGAAAAAGCTGAAATACTTGAAATGTGTGTTGATTTTGTCAAACAAACAAATGTACATTTAAATTCAATAAAACATAATTATGAATTAGGTTATCAACAATGTACAAATGATATTACAACATTTCTTAATACAATACCAGAAATATCATTTATTCAACGACAACATCTTTTAAAACATTTATCAACATCAAATAATCGTCGTTTTCATCCTTATAGACAAACAACAAGTCATCATTCAATTGTTAATGAATGGTTTAATCGTTGTGGTGGTGGAAAACAAAAATCTCTACCTGATTCATCATCCGAACGTTCAAATACATCAAGTCCATCATCATTTGATGATAATAGTGAACGTTCATCATCTCTTTGGAGACCATGGTGAATTATCTTTTTTTTTTCTGTTTGTAGTATATCTTTTTCTTATTCTTTTTCGTTTTTTTTTGGAAAAATATAAATCTTTCGAAAACAAAGTTAGATATATTTACGTGAAGATAAAAAAAAAACATCATATTTCCGTCCATTATATCAATGTTATTTACATATACTTTTATCTTAATGACAGGTGTTCAACACGTGTATGTTTTTATACTCAATAGGCGCCATATAAAACCCATTATCAGAGGATGTTCATGACATAATCATTACTTTTTCAAGTTGATTTTTTTTTTCTCTCTCAAACGGTCTATAGCATCTGCTTTTTTTTTGAAGGAATGTAAAGAATCTATTTTGTTATTTTTTCTAATTATATGTATATATCTATAAGTATGTATGTTCCGTTGATTCAACGATAATTACTTGATGAATAATATTGTATTGAGACACGTGAAGCCTCAATATCGTTGTTTGTATATATTGTCTCATTAACACTCGAGGAAAATTCATATTAAATATACAAAATTATCTCATGTAAACGATATGATCTCTTAGCTAAATCATATATACGAATAGAGAAATAGAGATCGATTGCGTCAGTAAACATAGAATCTAATCATCTTGATCAACAAAAACAAAAAGATAGAATAGAACTTTCTATTTTGTAACTAAAATAATGTTGATTCTTGTCAACATTCATACCTTCCGTTCATTAAAATCATAAAAGATAAACAAGATATAACATGAAATTTCTCCAATTAGGTGTGTTCTGAGGTCACCATGATTGGGAGGATGACGACTACTAAGAAGGTAGAGCTCACGATATGACGAAGGTTGATCTTTATTACGAGAATTGTTAAACAAAATTCTTGAACAGAGCCCATCAAGTCCAAGTCTTTTGGACTCGGATCCGATCGAACCGTACTTTGATACGTTCAATCCAATTTTCTAATCGGCGTAGGATAGCCGTCTCAAAGATACGAGATACTTTTTTTTTGGTTTTCTGTTTTTCGATCCGAGTCTGAGACCAACTAGACGGGCTCTACCCCTGACTTTTCTCACCATTCCAGACACTCCTGTCTTAAGCTATGCTGTCATATCATTTTTTTGTTTTACAGAAAAACAACCTATAGTTTATTTTTTACTAAAAATAAGAATATGTTGCCAGGGAAGTGATTCAACAGCTTGTAATAAAAGAAATCCATTTGATTCAAGTTCCAGTTTGGTTTGAAAAATAGACATACGATGATCATCATACACATTTGACATCCAACTATCTTCTAAACGATACTCGACTAGGACAAGTCGACCATTTGGTTTTAGTGCTCGATGTAATCCACTTAAAACAGCTGGTGGACTTATACATTCATGATAAGTATCAACCATAAGAATAAGATCACAAGAATAAGGTGGAAGGTTTGTATCAAAATGTGAAGCTAATACAGGTACTATATTCGAAAGACCAAACGAATATGCATTCATTACTAATTGATTAAGCATTTCAGGTTGAATATCTGTTGCAAAAACACGTCCATATGGTCCAACTAGACGAGCAAGACGTAATGAATTGAAACCGATACCAGCACCAATATCGGCAACAACCATACCTGGCTGAATGTTAAGTAAAGCGAGCATCCAATCAGGATATTCTTGCATTTCACGGCCACAACGCATTAAATGATGAACATTAGAATGTGGCATGACTTCACCAATTAAACGACCCATATAATAATGACGACCATTTTGCTGAAACGGATATGAAGGCCAATACATTTTCTTTCTTTTTAACTTTCACAGGTGTAATGTAAACTTAATGTATAGTATACAAGGAAGAACAGTGAAATGGTAAAACTGACACACGCATATTGATGCATTTCTTATATAACCTTGACTTGTGTTGACAAGAATTTCATATGTCCTACTATATACATCTTTAAATGTTTGAACTGGGTTGTTTTTGATCAAATATATGTCATTAAACCCTGAAACAGAATATGTTTTATGCATTTTTCTCTTGACAATATCTAAATTACTATCTTATATAAATATACATATAAATATCTTTAATGATTTGTTTTTTAAATATTTGATTAATTTTTTCGTCCATTATATATATTATATTGGAAGATTAGTTTCTATGATAATATTAATGCTTATGATTATAAATTCATTTATTTAAAATATGATCAATTAATGCATGTAAACATATGGTTTGTAATACAAGAACTTCAATTTTCAAAATATATATGTTTGATAGCAATTTAAGGTAAAAAAAAGAAGAAAGAAAATCGATATTTTTTGAGATATTGAAAATCATGATAAATTTATTTGATAAATTTTGGACATGAATTCAAAGAAATATTTCGATTAGAATTATGTTATACTGCTCATTTCTGTTGATTAGACTTCTTTTCATTTTTGAGGTCTTTTTCCCCTGAAAAATCGATTTTGAATCAGGTGTACTCAAATCGCATGAAATTCTCAGTACATGTTGAGACTGTATGGGAGGCGCTATAGTAAAATTTAGCTCTACACCATGACGTTGAAGGAAGATATTCAACAAAATAAAAGCCAAAGCTAGCTCATTGAACAACTTAAAATTACCTGTGAGCCTGAATCCTGTGTGTGTAATGTCTTTTTTTGTTTGCAAGAGCATGATAAAGTCCTGTCTTTTTAAATTAATGCGTTTTAAGCGATAGATAGTTCAATATCTCAAAGAACTCTAATTATAAAAGGAATTTTTTATATAACAGTTGCATAGCTCAGCTGAGAAAAAGGAACTCTGCCATGCCTTGCAACTTCACATGCTATTGCAAACAAAAAGAAAATTAAAAATATATAAAATCAAAGTCCACAGAGAATTTATGATTGCACGATCAAAATTCTCAATAAAAAAAATCATACTGTTTATGTATGAAAGATCAGATCTCGGGTTATCTTCTCATGTATTTATGTCAATTTTCATTTTCATTGTCAAAAGACATAAATCAATTGATAATTGATGTACTATTTATACTGCCAGATGTAGCAAGATTTTTGGAGCGTTCTTTCTTTGATAAATACTCAAGCTGAGACATAATATATTATCATCCAAAGTTTCCTATCAGAAAATGCAGTTTTTTTGGTTTTCGACAAATTTCTATGAGTCTTTATTTAAAACAATAGAATATAAACTTTTGATAAGTTGCGTTCTATGACTTAGTAAATAGAAATTAACTTTCATCTAGTTTTAGTAGTGTGTTATTCTTATGAAAACGAATAGTTAGTTTTGAAAAACAAAATCAATATTGTCTGAAATAATGTTTGAAAGATATTGTCGATTGTGTATATTTACAAAACTTTTTAAATGCACATGCTCGAAATTGGACGGTATGTTATATTTTGAGAATAGCTAAATTTTCTTCATTGACGACTAGTCTTCTAATGGACATTCTAGAAATGTTGTTTTATAGAGTTTGAAAAATTGTCGCCATTGTTCGTCATTTAGCAGGAACGTCTGTAAAACAAGAAAAAAAAATATGAAAGAAGTAAACTCTGTTCATTGAGTCACAGAACGCAGTTAATCAAAATTTTATATTCTTTTATTTTAAATAAAGATCCATACATGTTTGTAGAGAATCAAATATAGCATCTTCTCATAGGAAACTTTGGATGATGTACTATTTCTTCCGTGGGAACTTTTCCAGAATCTTTATTTGATGAATGTTAATGAGTAATAGAAAAGTCTCGAATGGTATTTGCTTTTACACATGAAAGATTTTTTGACCATTCAATATCTCGCGAAAGGAGATACTCGAAAAGCTACAACACTTGCCCATTGAGCTAATCTCATTAAGAATTTTGTTCGTGTGAAATTTGAAATTAAAACGCGGCAGTCGATTTCTTACTTGACCACAGTTGTTTTGTTAAAAAACCCATTAAACTTTCGACATCTGAAGAACGACGCTCGCATAACAAAACTTTTCTATTATTCTCTAGCACTGATCAAATGCACATCGATTCGGTCGAAAAACGATTTGAAATTTGAAGAAGTTTCCTTGTACGTTCGGACATTTAATAAAGAAAGAATGTTGCATAACTTTTATTGCATGCAGTACCTTGTTTAAAATTGATACTAGACCAATGTTCTTGTATGATTCAGTTGAATTATGTTTCGAAAAAAGACTTTGTTCTATGTTTTCTTGTTTCAATCCTAAGACATTTCATTGTAATGAATAATCGAATCATCCATATTTAAATGATTTTATTTTTAGAAAGAAAAAAAAAACGACTATTCAGTATTTTGATTCGAAATATCGTTAATCTTAGTCAAAACAAATCATTTATCAGGTCGGATTTATCATGTCAATATTTCTTTTGACATACAAAAAAAGTGAATCTTTTCTCTATATATCAAATTACGTCTATCTTTTTATCATGTTCAGTTGCAAATATCTCATATTTCTATATATTATTTTCTATAATTTTCATATGATTTTTTCTTGTGGATGTTATGGATCTAAAAGTTGTACTTTAAATGGAATTCTATGTAATTATAATCAAACAAATGATTCATGTGTATGTGATTGTTGTCCACCATGTAATACTTGTGAACAATTTCTTGAATTGAATTGTTTAGCTAATCGATATACTAAAAATTATAGTTTATCAAAAAATCAATCTAATATTATACTTAAAATAAATAAACCAATGAAACCAAAATATATTATTGATCAAAAGAATGGTGATATTGTTCGTTATCTTTGGAATCCTTGTTTACGTCGATTACTTCCGAATGGAATTTATTTAAAAAATGATGATAAAGGAATATATAAATTAATTGGTATACCAAGAGAAAAATTAGAAAAAACTTCTTTTGAAATTTTATTTAAAGGTTCAGTTAATTTAATTCTATTAGTTAATTTTACAATAACTATTATTTAAATAAAATTTAAAATAAATTAAACTTTATTTGTTGGTTTTCGTTTATAAACATGACGTGTAGCAAATGTTGATACTGATTGTTTTCTT